TGATTGGGGGGGGCCGTCCATAACACAAGCATCACTTGTGAATGCACCCATTATCCGCCTTCCGAAAAATGGCAGACTGGCAAGTTCGCAAGCGGAAACCAAAAGTGCAAGCAGAAACACAGATGACTTTCTGATTAAATTTAATTTACAGGGCTGATGTCCAAACAAGAGGACTGAAGTAAGGAGCAGATACGAGGGGGGACAACTGGGCTCCTGGTTCTGATTATTGCTTGTGTAGAGAGTTTTATTTTTTCCACTCTGTTGCTCTGACTCAAACATTTATGACTTGATATTTTAAAAAGCCCAGAGAGACTCAGGTATATATAATATTCAACACATTAGATTAAAAAATTTTATGACTCCCCGGGGACCAGCACAGTCTTGAGGTACAATAAAATGAGAAAGGGGAAAAAAAGAAAGAGAAAATTAACTGTTAAAATAGTGGTTAAAACGAGGTAAAAAATTGCAAATGACACTGGGATGTATTTGGAAAGGTAATAAAATGGTTGTCACCTTTAAATGATGCAATGGAAAGGAAATAAAAGCCTTGTATGATTATAGATTTGAATTCAGCGCTTGGCATCATTAGTTTAGCATTAAAAACTGAATGTAAGGATCATGCCAGAGCAATTCCAAGCAGCCATAAAAACAAATGCCAACTTCTTTCCCCTTTTTTCTCTGGGTGTTGTGTTACATAAGTTCCATAAATGTATTGAGCATTTGCAAATTTCCATCGGAACCAAAAAGGAAAATTAAATATTAACTTCAAAGTAAAATTCATTGAAAGCTGCAAGCTAGGTAAGACGATGCATCGCATTAGGAAGGTTCTTGGTTCAATTCTGTCCTACACGGAGTTTGCATGTTCTCCTCGTGCACGAGTGAGTTTGGATGAGCAGAAGAATTAAATTTTCCCACAAACAGCAGCAATGAGCTTTCGAACAAAACTGAGTTGAAGCAGATTAGAGATAGTACTGTTTAATTTAAAACTGCAAGGATTTTTGTATCATTTTAACTCAGGAAATCTGGATAATTCTGCATTTATCTTGCAATTCAGACAACTTTCCTGAAAAAAAAAATTATTTTCTTTTTTATGAAAAACAATTGTATCAATGAATGAGCTTATGCATATTTATTTTGTAAAACCAGTTTTGAATGAACTTAAACTGATGTTCTGAACTGGTTCAAAAGGTCAGAAAATGAGGGACCACTACTACGAATTAAAGTAATCAAAACAAGCTAAAAAAATCTTGATTTTAATTTTTAAATCATATACGGTCAGTAAGAAAAACTGCTTTATCTCTGTTTGGCATTGAGACTCCGATACAAGTTCTAATAACCAGCAGGCTGGATTACTGCGATGCTTTCCTTTGTGAAGGGACCTGCAGACACAAAACATATTTTCTATTGTCTCATATAATGGTATCGCGTTGTAATATGTCATGTATTGTATAATAATCAAAAAACCATTTTTCAAGCTTATGTATATAATTTTTTTTTTACATTTATAAAAACAAGATTGATCAAATTCACTGTAAACAACCAGCAGCCATCTATTCTCTTCTGTCCTTTCAAACACGCTCTGTGTTTTTCTCTTCAGGGAGTGAATCTGTGCCTGGTGGTGCCAGTCCACTGTTAGTGGCTCTCGCCAAGGCCTGACAAACAGAGAGGGGGGGTGCAAGCTGGCAGGA